TATATACCACATTGAAAGGTAACCAATTGTGGTTATAGACACAGATTGACACAACACAGATAGAAAGGAGTAAATTATGCAAATGTAGAGGGTGCTAAGTTTATTGATATCACTTCTCAAATTTAGAATTACCATCAGATTTAATGTGTAAAATTTCTTTTAATAATCTTCTGTCCTACATTTTCTCCCTGTCAACCACAACCACACCATCAAAGTTTATTTCATGATTGGTTTCATGATGATGCCTTGACAAAACTAGTTCTTCTTGGCCTACTGTTTTCCGAACAATCATATCTGTGTGTCAACCTTGTATACAGGTAGTGCTTGGTCTCATCATAGTAAACCATGGGGCAATCATTACACGAGATAGAGTAAACCAAGTTAGACAATCGTAAAGGCGGATTAACCCACTTTATTTTTGGGAAAATTTTTTTACTCTCCTGATCTCGAACGTATTAGCGATATCTTGACGGTCGATTCATCGTTCATTCGGTATAGACCCAACAATGAATATGGCAAAATGCCGAAACGCGTCTCACAGGCCGACGCACTGCGGGGGTAGGTAGATCAGGATGATCTATGAGGTAATGACCAAATTACCGGTTCTCCGGTTTGTTGAAATTGATTATTCGTTGGATAAAAACAATGTTCGTGCTCAATTATCGAACAGAAGATCTTTGTGATGGTTTCCTTTTCCTAGCTGCCAGGAAAAGCTTACTCTCGTTGGTCACTTTCATCGTGTAAATGGCTTTTGCAGCTCAAGGCAATACTTGAAATTTAACTATCTTGTTAAGAACAAAAGACATGTACATTAAAACTACAGATAAAAACAACTTGATAATTTGATAAACGTAACATATATAACACTAAATCTCATAACATTTACTTCAAACAGGACGATCACAAATACAAATAGAAACCATAAAAAGAAAAACTAAAGGCAAGTTAAACCCGACACACGCATCTCACCCCCATGTCCTTATAAAAGAGTCCCAACATTGAAGATGGCGAAATGTCGAAATGTGTCTGACAAACTAACGCAGCTAGTGTAAGCAGAAAAAATGCTCGGTACCTTCCAAATTACATACTTATACCTGTTTAAATAAATTCTATCGATTTCTATAATATAAAATGTTAAAAATATCTGCACTTTGTTAAAGAAATGACTACATCTTGTAGTTTTACCTAGGAAGAAAAATGTAATAGTGAACATCACTTTAGATACTTCAGTTATTGATTGTCTCGTTGGCAATAAATTCACCATTTAAAATCTAAATACCTGGTTACCTGTCTTTCATTCAGGATAGGTTTCCGTGCATTGGAATTTTTGGAGTCATAAATTTTTGTTTGTTTATAACTTAATTGTTACTAAACTACACGTTGTGTTTAATCACGTACATTGTTCAGATAACGTTCACGATTTTCTAGTGTGAGTAGTTTTAATAAATTTATTTAAGCTTATTACTAAATACGTTAGTAATAGATTATATTGTAAATATACTTGGAATGGATTATTCTTTTCATGTGTTAAAAGCTTCCAAAAATGTTTAAAATATTTGATATTTTTTCCGTCATAAAATTACGTCAATTATAACTTTTCATAATTCATTAGAACCATTTAAACTCTCAGAAACTGATCGTTTTACATCATTAGCAGGTTTTTTGACTTTAGGTATAATTAAATGAATTCTCATATAGGTAAACATAAATAATTTTATCTAAATAAATTGTAAAATGAGAAAAAATAGTATTGTAAAATGACTTACAGGTTATAACTAACTTAATGCTAAGTTTAAGTGTTATGTAATAAATTCAAAGTAGAATAAGCATTGCATTTCGTATACTATTTGCAGGGAATAAGAGCTTTTGTATTTATAAATCTAGAATGTTCATTTTGTTTATTGTTCTGATCGAATTCTGTTACGAGTTATCTATGACAAGATATTTTTAACATTACACTTTGATGATTTAAAGGTAATCATCAATTGAAATATTGCACATTTAATTTGTAAACAAAAAGTTATTGGCGCAGTTGTTTGGTTTATTATTTTTTCTAACGGGATAAAGGGTGAGGTGTATATGAAATAGAAACTCAATTTGGCTTTCAGTGACCTGTGATCATACCGTCCGTGAACGTTTTGCACCTAAAGGTCATTGAGGCTCATTTAGCCCAGGCCACAACCTTTAAAGGTGACAATATACAACTCCAGGTTCATTTTGAATACTAACTTTATAAAAATATTGAATTGGCGTACATGAGATGGTATTTTGCTTGGGAGAATCCGTTAGGGTTGAGCTTTTTCCGTCATTTCTTCCATTTAGCAGGAGGGTCTAGTAATTAATTTGAGGAGAGGATTCTTTCTGCTCCGGGGCGATACCATTAACAGTCGCTGGCACCAAACGAGGACCGAGGGGGTCAGATTAGAGAAAGTCGTCTCGTTAATTAAAAATGTTTTTGTTTTATCTCCGCCACGTATTTTGTTTTGTGCAATGCGTTAAACCCCTCAACTAAACCCTTTTGTTTAATATATTTTTTTAACGTGTACAGTGACGCAAATGTCCATGTCGGTCATAAAAAGTGATTAAGTTGCAAATGTTATTCTCTTCTCTGTCAATATTGTTCTGTATGCATGCTTTTTTGCTCCAAAATAAAAATGTTGTTAATGTTTACAATAGAGAGGCGTTATTTGTGATTAGTTAACTTCAATGAACTTTCGTATATGCTCATACACGAAGAAACCGGACACTCCTACTTTATTAGATATTTCAAAATTTAATCGATATGTTAATTACAACACATTGATTTTAATGTAAACCAAATTAAACCCGATTAGAAATATTTGATTTTTAATTAAAAAAAAAAATTAATTTTGGTGGTTAGAAAGAAAATTCACCAAAACATAGGATAATCATTTAGTGATACATTAAAATTTAACTATTAATTTATTCTATCATAAAATAATTTTCGGTGTTTTGATGCATTTTTTTTCAAACCATCATAATTAAATAATTTTTATTAAAATCATAAATATCTGATCTCGTTCAATGTTTACGTTAAATTAAATATGTTGTAATTAATCCGACGATAAAGTACATATAGTATGAAATAATCAACAAAATACAAGTGTCAGGTCTTTTTTACTTTGAATATTATCTAAAACCGAAAATATATTGGCTATATAGGTTGGTTAGTCATTTCAGTTTAAAAAAAATACTTATTGATGTATGTTTTTGCTTTTTGCAATTTCGCCATTTTCGAACAGTAAAATGACAAGATGTGTTTTTCCTAATTATTACTATTATTATTATTTTAGTGCTATTAGGGAAGCAAATATCCACGTCTAGCGGCAAACTTGCATTTACAACATTTATCCGAAACGATATGGGGATATATATCGCATTTGAGGCTTAAATTAAGTTATCGTTTTCGATTTACTAGCTGTGACTTTGATTTTTTATATTTATTCTACATAAATATATTCAATTTCTGATGAATGATGAACTGTATCAACCATTGACTTTCATTTGTTATTCTATTAAAGCTATAACACCTGTATCATCTTCAACATCTTGTTTTTGAGACAAAACTGTCTTATCTGTCTACAGATTTTACGGTAAAGTATAATTAGTTATGTATAATAAATAAATATCTCTTTTTTTAAGTTTTATCTAATGAATATAAACAATAAATTCTGTGCAATCTTCAAAGCAGTTTATTTCTAGAAACTTGAGTTTACATACATGAAAATAAACAAATACTTCAATTTCAAGATACTTTGTTCGGCGGCTGCAAATTAAAATTAAATGGTAGACCGGCATAATTTTGGTTACTATAGAAGCAGAGAATGTATCAAACAGCATAAATCAATTAAAAACCTAGAAAGCCTAGTCATCAGCCTTAGGACGAGTTCCAAATACGTACAATCGCAGAAAATAATTAATAATAATAATTAATAAAATTTTACATAAATGATCAAGACAATCACAATATGCGTTTAAAGTATTGCCAAATTTAATTTACCATCGGATTTAAAATCTATTTGAAAAGTATGAATCAAGAAATCGAAATTAATAAAATGGCAATGAATAATTTTGCCACAGTATTAAATATTTTCTTCCTAAATCTTGTATTCATTCTTCTACAGGTTCTTTATAAATAACCGAAAAAATTAAATTGTTAATTGTTATTTAATTATTTTGATTAATTGTTATTTTCGATTAATTATCCTAACTGGAAATATCTATTTCGGCCTGGCGAGTGGTAAATAAGGTAAAGGTTATAAGAAGTGTTTGGGGAAAGCAGTGCATTTTTCCAAACGCTCCAACTCCATGAAGGAATTGTTTTCTATTCTCGATGATATGTCATGGCTTAATAGTCGAGAATGAACGAACCAACTACAGGTTAATCACCTATCAGGTCTCAAAAAGAAATCTCACAAACACTAAAATGTCCTTATTTTGTTTGACAGATTGCGGCGATGCAACCTTCTAAATGCTGAGCACATTTATAAAAACAAACAAAAATACTAAATATTGATTATTATATGCCAGTATAAATTTTTTTGACGGGTCGATAAGAAGAGATGAACTACTAGGAGGTGGGATTCAGCGAAGTAATCTTGTAAAATAAAGTTACTAACTTTATACAATGTTAATTCATAATCCGCTCGTGATACCAACTTTTTCATCTCAAACAAGACCTTAAATAAAAAGTATAATTAATTTACTAATATTATTTAAGTTTAAATGTAAATGTATTTATTTCATAAGTTTTCAAAATACTTGTAGGTTGTAAACCACAGAGAATCGTATTCAATAGATTTTTGATTTTGAACTATACTGTTAAGTTTTAGTTCACCTAAACTGTCTTTTTATATGTTGCAAGCCGATTTTTATCATTTTTATGACTTAAATAACAAATTTGAGTCGAGTGATCTTGCATGTGGCGGTTAACGAGGTTGCGGCTATTAACTTATCGAGTGTGGTGTCGGGCTGGGAGGGGATCGTGGTGTGGACGTCTACGGGAAGAAGGGGAACGCAGGCCCAGTCGGTCCCGGCTCTTTAGTAGTAGAGTAGAGCTCGACGACGGCAATCAGTCTCGGTCTGCCAACCGGCCAACTCGGTTACTTGTGTGCGCGTGTCGTGTACGATGATCGTGTAAATCGGGATGCGGGCGCTGTTCTTCACGGTCGTTTGGCTTTTGGGCCAAAATGCCCTAGCCGACGATAATTCGACGACGGGATTGAGATACGATGCTCCCGACGACTGCCAGTGGTGGGTCAGGGAGCCGGACGATGAGGTGTCGCTTTCCTGCACCCTTCGAACTATCAATTCCGAACTGGATACGACCAACTTCAGCGTGATACCCACTGAGCACACGATCGCCCTCAGGATCCGGTGCGATCCGATGCTCATGTCGAGAAGCACTCTGGACGAAAAAAGCTTCTCTCACCTAGTCCGATTGAGGGAGCTCGTTTTGGAATACTGCAAAGTGACCAAACTGGTTCCAGGAGCCCTTTTTGGACTTGAAAATCTGAGAAATTTCACCCTGAGGACATATAATACGGATTGGTCCGCTTTCAGCCTCGAACTTAGTAGTAATACATTCGAAGACGTTAAACAACTCGAGAGGCTCGATCTCGGTATGAATAACATCTGGTCGTTTCCAGAGAATATTTTCTGCCCGATGGCAAATTTGATTAGCTTGAACGTGAGTGGTAATCGGTTACAAGATATAAGGGAACTCGGTTTTAGAGAAAAGACGCCTCCTCCTCAGCCTTTGATTAGCAGTCAAGACGACGAAGCCGGCGAAATCGAACCACAAAAACCACCGCCTAGCCCTTGTAATATGGATATTCAAATTTTGGACGCGTCAGGTAATCACTTTGTCATGTTACCGATGAACGGTTTCAGTTCGTTGAGAAGACTAAGAGAACTTTATTTGCACGATAACGAAGTGACGATGGTCGCGGAAAGAGCCCTTACCGGTCTCAAGCAATTAGTACGATTCGATTTGTCTAACAATAAAGTCGTAGCCCTCCCGTCCGAACTGTTTAGGGATACGTCTGAATCGATAAAAGAAATTTATTTACAAAACAATTCCATTAGTCTGCTGTCGCCGGGGTTGTTTTCCAACTTGAATCAACTTTTGGATTTGGACATCTCTAGAAATCAGCTGACGAGCGCTTGGATTAACAGCGGAACGTTTTCCGGTCTGATACGTCTCGTTCTTTTGAATTTGTCCTATAACAAAATCACGAAACTCGAGCCGTCTTTATTTCACGATTTGTACACCTTGCAAATATTGAACTTGGAGCATAATTTAATCGAAGCCGTTCCTCCAGACACTTTCATCCCAATGAATAATCTGCATACATTAGTTTTATCGTACAATAAGATTACCTACCTCGATGCTTATTCGTTTAACGGCTTGTGCGTGCTAAGCCTCCTATCTTTGGATAATAACGTTTTGGAAGATATGCACCACGCTGCATTTAGAAATTGCACAGGATTAAGGGATTTGAATTTAAACGGTAACAAGTTGAAGACGGTGCCGATTGCATTGCGAAACATGAGACTTCTGAGAACCGTGGATTTGGGCGAGAACAATATCGCGAATCTCGATAAGCCCGGCTTCGTCGGTATGAGCAACTTGTACGGGCTCCGCCTCATCGGCAATCAGATTTCAAACATAAGCAAGAGTACGTTCGCCGATCTGCCGTCGCTTGAAATATTGAACCTATCTCGAAATAAAATAGCAAAAATACAAAGCGGTGCGTTTGAAAGCAACTCCAAGCTCCAGGCCGTGCGCCTAGACGCCAACTTGTTATCCGATATTAACGGCTTGTTCTCCGATATCCCGAGCCTCCTGTGGCTCAATATTTCAGATAACAGATTAGAAAAGTTCGATTACGCCTATTTACCCCAAGGCCTCCAATGGTTGGATATTCATAAAAACGAGATAACGGAACTCGGTAACCGTTACAACTTGGGGCCCGAACTCAAAATACAAACTTTAGACGTGAGCTTCAACAAATTGACCAAAGTGACGGCGGCTTCTATTCCAGATAGCGTCGAATTGTTGTTTATGAACGACAACCTTATCACGACTGTCGAAAGTCAAACTTTTATAAAGAAAACAAATTTATCACGGGTTGATTTATACGCGAATCAGATAGAAGAGATGGAACTGAACGCTTTACATTTAACTCCGGTCGAGGAGACCCGCCCCATGCCAGAGTTTTATATAGGAGGCAACCCCTTCCAATGCGATTGTACAATGGAATGGCTTCAAAGGATCAATAACTTAGACCATCTTCGACAGCATCCAAGGGTCATGGACTTGGACGGCATATATTGCAAACTTTTGTACAGCAGGGACCGGCTTTACGTTCCCTTGGTAGAAGCGGACTCGTCGGTTTTCCTTTGCTCTTACAAAACTCATTGTTTTGCCCTTTGCACTTGTTGCGATTTTGACGCCTGCGACTGCGAAATGACCTGCCCCCAAAATTGTACCTGCTATCACGATCAGTCGTGGGCGGCCAACATCGTCGACTGCTCCGCCAGCGGTTATACACAAATGCCTTCGAGCATACCGATGGACGCAACCGAGGTGTATTTGGATGGTAACAACTTTGGTGAGCTGACGAGCCATTCTTTCATAGGGAGAAAAAACTTGAAAGTGCTCTACGCCAATCACTCCAACATTGCAGCGATCTACAATCACACGTTCACTGGACTCAGAAGACTTACTGTTCTTCACCTCGAAGGCAACCGCATCAAACAATTACTCGGTTCAGAATTGGCCAGTTTGATCAATTTGAGGGAACTCTATCTTCAAGGAAACATGATTCATTACATAGATAATAGAACATTCATGAGTTTGACTTCTCTAGAAGTATTAAGATTAGAAGACAACGAACTTTACAAATTTTCGGTTGCAGTATTTTCGTCAAACCCCTACCTCGTAGAAATTGGATTGGCTGGAAATCAATGGTCCTGCGATTGCAAATACATGCACGAAATGAGTACATGGGTTCGCGCTAATTATGCTAAAGTTATCGATTTCAAACACATCGCTTGCGTAATTGACAATAGAACTCACATGCTCGGGCCCACACTCAAAGATTTCAATTCCACTTGGTGTTCACTTTATGCGGGTGGATCGAGAGGGATGGTCGACAGACAAGTGATTCAAGATTACCTTCCTTTACTACTACTGACTTTCGTCGCGTTTATCTTGTGCATCGGAATGGTCTGCGGCCTTTTCGCCTACAGGCACGAGCTGAGAGTATGGATTTATTCTAGATGCGGTTTGCGGATGTGCTACAAAACCAGTGGCTACGAAGAAGACCACGATAGATTGTTCGACGCCTACGTCAGTTATTGCGTTAAAGACGAAGGCTTTGTCACACAGGTCCTTGCGCCAAAGTTAGAATCACAATTTAGACTTCTTCTCCACTACAGGGATTTCAATGTCAGCTCCTACGTAGCCGACACCATCCTTGAAGCCGTCGAATCGACAAAGCGGACGATCGTCATCCTATCGAGGAATTTCCTGAACTCGGAATGGTGCCGTTTCGAGTTCAAAACCGCTCTCCACGAAGTACTCAAGGATAGGCGTCGTCGTCTGATCGTGGTCCTAGTCGGCGACCTGACACCATCCGAAGTCGACGGAGAGCTCAGACTATATCTCAAGACAAGCACTTGCTTGCAGTGGGGGGATTCCCTTTTCTGGCAAAAGTTAAGATTCGCCATGCCCGACCCAACGAGAGGACCGAGAGTCCGCGTTTACGCACCTCAGGATGGACAGCCAAAATTGGTCACAAATTTCCTGCAACCTCAACCCCTTTGGGCATAGCGACTAACATACCACAGGTAAAAATGTTAAATTATTTCTACTAAAAAAATTATTTTTATCATTCATCCGAGCTCGTTTTTAATTAATGCAACCTAAGAATGCCAATTTTTTTCTGGTTCCACAGCCAATGAAAATGCGTGTCATTCCGTCTCATGACATGTCCATTTTCCAATTTCCTTGTCTGTTTCAATGCAGATCTCGTTTTTGTTCTTTGCTTGTTAAGCCTCGAAACGTAGTCCAACATCGTTTCCAATTCTTATCAAGAACGTTACACCTTGTAATTTTTCAAAACTCCATTTCTGGATAAAAGAAAACAACATATTTTATTCCCACGATTTGTTTTTCAGTAAGTTCGCTTTCTCTCACAACCTTGATCATCATGACAATAGGAACGTGGTCAAAAGTTTACTATTTTCAATGTTGGCCTCTATTGTAAACACATACTACTTATTCACATACGGTCGTTGTGTATATATAATTAAAGATTTTCGTGATATTGAAATATTCAAAGTCAAGTCTTATAACCAAACTTTAAAGTACAAATGAAAAAATAAAACAACACGATAAATTTTTAGGGAAAAAACGTTCGTGTTTATACTGGCTGTTCAAAACAACACATATAGAGGAAACAATTGTAATTAGTGACAAAATAGGATGGGAATTGAAACAACGGACGACCAGTTTTATTGTTGGATGGTGTGCGAATTGTTCAACTTTTTTCAACCGTTAAATCGTCCTTTTCATCCAGGCCTGCATATTAATGCATTTAAGTTTACATTTCAAACAGAAGCTTTATACAAAATTAATATGAAATACCTAATAAGTCAACACCTAAAGCAACCAAGCTATTATATATTAAGCTATTATAATATATTCTAACATATACAGCTTGATGTATAATAGTATTGAAAAGTATAATAATGGGCACTCCTAAAAATAAATTATCTAATAGTTTATTTAAAAAATAAGTGAAAAATTTCAGCTTTTAAACTCAGGATATACGATAGCACATATAATTTAGAAAAGGTCATACAAATCGTTAAACGATATAAATTTGTACAAGTGTTCAACAATGTTTTTTGAGTATAAAATGCATTGGGCCTTTAAAATTATGCTTCTACCAACATCAACTTTTAAAATTCATAAATGAAATATTTGGCAAAGTTAAAATATATTCATATTGTTGGGGTGATAAGTTACAAACTGTACAACTCAAACTTTCTTACAAGGGGTGGCTACGGAAGGGATCAACAATTTTAATGAATTTTTTCTTGATTGCACAACGTCGAAAAGTACACGTCTGTTCGCGTTCTTGACAAGGGCCAGAGAGCCGAAAATTTTTTTATCCGACTGAACTTCAGTTTTTAAAAAAGTTGTTTTCTGCCTTCGTTGCTCATGTATGTCAGGGTTATTATATGCCAGTAGATTTGTATTTTTACATAGAATAAGACGTTCTATTAGTAATTAAGTTAGAAATATGACAAGTGGCAAAAACCAAAGAACGTGTAGATTATGCCAAAACAATTTGTATTTGAAAAAAAGCAATTCAGATTAGTTATAACCAGACTGTCTAGCCCCTTGTAGAAGGTAGAGCCGTTTAAAATTTCCCACTATTGTGATTTAAGAAAACTCGCAGGCATTTTGAAAGGTAAAAATCATTTTTTTAAAAATCCCTCCCCCCAAATTAGAATTTCAAAGTTTTTTTGGGGTATTAAAAACGAATATACTTGATTTCTTGGTGCAAAAGATATATATTCCTTTTTACTCCTAGTTCCAATTGGCAAGAAAGATCTTATATATCTCTAATATTTCGAGACCTTGTATCAGAATAAAATGTTAATTGAAATCGGCTATTCCACGTCCGTAGCACTTCCATATTAGTATTAATTAAAGGTTTATTTTTAAGTAAATGAGATGTGTGTGTACTACAAGTCTTAAGAGATTAAAAATACTGCACAGACGTGTGAATGAATAAACAGGTTTGCAAAGGAACAGGTTTTTGCTTGACATTTCATTTTACACTACTATGCGAGCCTATGAATGAAGATTGATTAAATGCCCATAGTTCTATTTACGATATACTTTTAATAATTATCGTACGTTTTTATTTTTAAATATAACACTACTGTGTGCTTCAATAAAACGAGAACTTGTTTTTATTTTCATTGCTTGGATTTCCCGTATTCTCGGATATAAAAAATCCATACAACAAAATTAATGTTGAAAAATTAAACTAGATAACTTTGATGTGTTAGTATATTTCATACATCTTCTTTTTAATGTTGAGTGTAGGAATCAGAGCACCAAAAATTTAGAATATTCCAATTCGAGTATAGTTACCGGTTTTCCAAGAATAACCTCCCGAATGATGGAAGCGATATGATGTTTGTAAACAAAACCTACTTAAAAGTATCAATATAAACAATGTATGAATTTACTAATAACGAATGTAGGTTTAAATTTAATAAAAGGGTATAATATTATCAAAAATTGTAATTAAATATAAAGAAAAAGAAAACAAATACGAGAAATTCATATGAAAACAATTACAATCTAAAACTTGCGTGAAACAGAAAAGTAATTTTGTGTTTATAAATTGAACAAACAGTATTATTGTAACATTGGAGTGTTTTCTCCACTCTTGGTTTTAATTTTGTTTTGTTTTAATTACCTTTCTCACTGTTACTTATTACTTACTTTAAGATAGTTGTAATGTACAACAAATTAAAAAAAAAAAGTTTATAAAATTAATACTATCAAACAAAACAAAAAATACATATTACTCTGTTCTCTATACTCATAAGTACTTGTGTTAATGAAAACCAATTACAAATTTATTATCGTACATAATTAATTATACTTCATCCTAAAATCTGTTGAAGATAAGACAGGCGTTATTTTATAGAATATAACAAATATAACTCAATGGTTGATATAGTTCATCTATTCTTCCTTCCAAAAATTGAATATATGTGGAATAAATAGCAAACGTCAAATACACAGCAAGTAAATGAAAAAATTTAACACAATTTAAGCCCCAAAATGCAATATCTTGGAAAAATCTATCGTTTTCCCTTCCAATTTTACCGTACATAAACCTATTGTTTCAATACGTTATTTGAAGCCAACCTGCCACTACATCTGTGAACTGGGAAAGAAAAGTTGAATTTCCGTTAGGAGGTGAACAAGTGATTATCGCCAGCAGAAGCATTCCTCTTCACAAAAGTCAAAATAAGAAAAAGTAAGAATTTTTGCTTTCGTGTTCATTTTTTTAAAAAGTCCTTGGAACAAAAGTTGTAGAGCGTAAAACGACGGTTCAAAATTTATGCATTTTTGAAAGTTGGGAGAGAGAATCGGGCGAAGGGGAAGGCGACGAATTGAAAGCTTATTAATATTTCCTATCCATTTCTGTGCAGTGCCACTCCAGGACGATTTCTTGGCTGCACTACTCAATTTGAAGTTTTCGTAAAAATTGCAAAAACTAACATGTTCCCGGAAAAACCGTCTTGTTCAGCGTAAAATTTTCTAAAAAATGTGACCAAGTCTGCACGTCGCACGTCTATTGTCTGAGAAAACATGCATTTCCAAAGTTGGTCCAATTTTTTCTAAACACCGGGCGGTGTTTTTCCTTAATGAGCAGTGTATAAATGGTACGTCAAATTTTGATTTAACAATTGCAAACAAAAATAAGTCTACAGATTTGGGTTATTGTATTTCCGATCATATTAACAGAATTTCAACATAAACCTTAGATCGTGTTAGTTGTCATTAATCGTTTTTCTCGAGATCATACTTCGTTCCTGGGATTTCCTGTTGTGTATACCTTTAATAAGTAAAAAATGGATCTGTTTGGAGAAAACCTTGTCTGAATGGGGAAAACTACAATAGAATGGAGGATACAAACAGCCAGATTTTCAGTTCAAATTGTTAAACCTTTTTCTGTTGAAGAAAAGGAGGGTCGGTGACTGGAGAAACAACCTTAACCGTCCTATTGAAATGGCACAATGGGTAAGGATCTCATTGCATTACCTTTTCCACGGACTGAAACCGGAATGTCACCGGAAATTTGTGGCGGAGACCGTGCCAGGTGGTGATTTGTCGTGAGGTTTGAGTTTACTGCTCAATAGCCCTCCCCACCGAGGCATAATGGCCACTAACTAGGGTCACCAGAACCATCTGCCCGCTCGCCCGCCTGCCGAACGTTCTCACTCCCCATTTTCGACGACGATAATAATTAGACAAAGGAGCCGTAACGGAGTCAGGACGAGTCGTACAAACCTCAGTGGACTTCTTGTTGACCCTTTGCCGAAAAAAGTTTCCATAAGGTGGTGTGTTCCCACGCATATCGAGGGATCCGGATCGAAAAGAAAGTACTCTAGCATGGAAAGAATGGCTCCAGTTTAAATGTTACAAAATAGGTTAAACTACTAGAAACCAACACACAAGCACATTCACAAGTACTTAGATAAAATCTCAGTAAAGAAACTGGACTAAAAGCTATTCTATTACTCATTTATGTTCAACATATTTAAAATGGCATAGAATTAATTACCTAAGAATCCAACATTTTAAATTTATAGGATAATATAGTGTATTATTATTTAGAGTTGGTAAACGCGGTATGAACTCCGGATAACAGAAGCGACAGAAAAACGGTGGTTTTTGCTCAATAAAACAATGTTTATTTAAAGAAATCTAAATTGCTTACAGTAACTATAAATAAAAACGGGAAAAGCTGAAGAGTAATCGTGGCACGGTTAGAAGCGTAGTACAAACGGTAAAAAATTGTGATATGTTTGTAAATAATACCTTGAGTGATTTTTGACGTTTTCATTCATTTTGGTCTTCATAACCTCGCTGTTATGGTCTGCCAGAAGGTATTTTATGTTTTCACTAATTCAGTATTGTGTTTGTATTAATCAAACATAACCATATATAACAATTTTAAGGGCACATAAAACGTACAGCGAATACAGTGGCTTTTATTAGTTTCCAATAAATAACCATTGGCCAGTAG